CAGAGAGCCACTCAACTACCCGTGAGTCAGTCAGCCACTCAGTCAGCCAGTCACTCAACCAGCCAGTCAGTCACCAGTCAATTAGCCACTCAGTCACCAATAAGCCAGCAAATCATTTAGCCAGTCAGATAGCAAGTCAATTACCATTGAGTCAGAACCTTTCAATCAGCCGGTCAGTCAACCAGCCGGTCAGTCACCAGTCAATTAGCCACACAGAAACCAATAAGCCAACAAGTCATTTAACCAGTCAGATAGCAGGTCAAATACCATTGAGTGAGAACCTTTCAATCAGCCAGTCAGAGAACTATGCCGTCAGCCAGTCAGTCACCAGTCAATTGCCCACTTAGTCACCAGTCAGCCACCAAGTCAGTTAACCAGTCAGATAGCCAGTCAAGTACCATTGAGTCAGTCAACCTTTCATTCATCCAGTCAGTCAACCACGCAGTCAGTCAGTCAGTCACCACTGAATCAGCCACTTAGTCACCAATCAGTCAGCAAGCCAGTTAACCAGTCAGATTGCCAGTTAAGTTCCACTGAGTCAATGAACAATTCAGTCATCCAGTCATTCAACCAGCCAGTCAGCTATAGTTAGCCATTTTTTTCAAAATCATGACACGATATACGTCCGGTTGTTTCCACGCATACTTGCAATCATTCCTGCTACACGATATACGTGCGTTTTTTTCTCACGTATACTTTCGTTTTATTCCCAAGTATATGACCATTTTCTTACAAACACGCATATATATGCGCACAAAAAAAGCCCATATATATACCTTACGAACAAACGTTTGTATATGGGGTTATAGCAGGCGATCATATAAAATGCATCGAACTATACCGTTAGCAATAAACCTACTTCATGTACGATAGAGCCGGAGAGCACTTTCAGTTTGAATCAAGCATGGCCGCCATGGTCATTTTAATTTCGATCAAGGTTTGGTTCTTACTCATTGCCTCCGCGGCAGTGGTGGTTGTTAGTTCCCCAACAACGGATTTGTTGGAATCCGTGGGCTGTCTGTTGAGAGACTGAACGTTACTTTCTAAATGCTGACCGAAACATGGTAGAAAACTTAATTGTACGACCTCAGGTTACCATCGATTCAGTTCTTGGATTTGTCTGATCGTACCTGTTATACTCTTGACATAATCGGACACGTGAATACCACGTGTAACTGACACTCCGCTACAGTTTGAAATACGTATCCTATTTTTAATCTCGACGATTCACTTGTACATAACACAAAAAAAAAAATACAGAATTAACAATGCGAACTTAAACCCAACGAAACTAAAATACAACGAAAGGAATACGAGAAACTACAGGAAAATATAAACGAAAGCGTAACTACTCACAAGATCTGTACGGTGCTCCGGAATAACAACGACTGAATGAAAACTACAACTACGATGTTATATAGCGGATAAATGCTAAAACAATAGACTAAACAAGGCTACACAATACTCAAAGGTAATTACATGAAACAACGCTGACAAACTTAATTTACATTTTGACAGCACGAAAAAATACAAACTAATAAAAACAGAACTGAACTATCGAGACGAGAACTATTTACACTAATTACAATTAACAAAGACGAACGACAGAACTGATAAGAAAAAGTAACTCTCGTGGCTACATAGCCCCCCTAATGAACCACTAAAGTCAGCAGTTCATTACTTAACGTAACTATTGTCCGACACGAGAGTACGTTTATCCTTTTACAGTATGGATTTTTCAATTCCATTGCATTCTTCTTAACAACAGGTTCAGTTTCTCTTTTTAAGCTTTGTTTTCTCCCTCTAAGAAACACAGTTTAGTCACTGGTCTTGTAAGAATTGTGGTAGCTGTTTGCACCTTGGCTGATCGGACTTTCCCGTCTCTTCCGGTGAAAACATCGGTTACTCGGCCTAACGGGCATCCTCCTCGATGAATGCTGTCAACTGCAGTTAGAACCAGGTCTTCGTTCGCTAAGCAACGGCGAGGTTTGGTCCACTTTGCTCTCTCTTGAAGGGTTGGCAAATACACCTTCAACCAGCGCTTCCAAAACAAATTGGCCATGTACTGGACTTCACGGCAGCGTCGCTTGCTATACATTTCTTCTTTGTTGAAGACTCCAGGAGGCAAATTTGGTTGACTCTTAACAAGAGCAGATGGTTTGGCGTAAGAGGCTCCAGGTCGTTCGGGTCACTACTGACAGGAGTCAACGGTCTGCCATTTAAGATCCCTTCAACTTCGCTCATCAACGTTCGGAGAATTTCTTGCGAGACGAGTTTGTTGTCCTAGCAGTGCTCTCAGGATCTTGCGCACAGATCTGATCGTGCGCTCCCAGGCCCCACCCATGTGCGAGGCTGTAAGAGGATTGAATTTCCATCTAATATTCTTCTGACGAAGAAACCTGTGGATTGATTCTTGATTTAAATCATTCAATGACCCGCGTAACTCTCTTTCCCCTGCTTGGAAGTTCGTCCCATTGTCACTGTAAACGGTAACTGGACATCCACGTAAATTAATGAATCTTCGTAGCGCATTAACGAATGAATCAGTGTCAAGCGAGTTCACGACCTGTATATGAACGGCTCTGACGACCAGGCAAGTAAACAAACACCCGAAACGTTTCACGTTCGAGCGACCTTGGCGTACATAAAAGGGACCAAAGTAATCCACGCCTACGTATGTGAACGGTGGATCTCCTGACATTAGTCTTTCCCTTGGCAGGTCGGCCATCAACTGCTCTCCACGAACTGCACCAAGTTTCTTACACTGGAAACAGCCACTAATCACTCGACGCACAGCTGAACGCCCCTTTATCATCCAATAGAATTGTCGTGAGCTGAACAGTCCGTATTCTTGACCGAGGTGGCCAACGTTTTTGTGGTGCTGAGAAATGATCATATCCATTACCTGATGACGATACGGCAGAATAATTGGATGTTTTGCGTCATAGTTGATTAAGGCATTTTCCAGTCTTCCTCCAACTCTTAGAATTCCAATGTCGTCCAACAACGGATGAAGTTTGCGCATGTGAGCTGGTATCTTAAGATTCTTTAACTCGGAGGTAACTCGACATGAAGGCTTCGATAAACTGATTGTCTGTATGGCTTGAGTGACTTCCGGAAATGAAAGCCTTTGTACATGCTTGATAGCTTCCCGTTCTGCGTTCTGTAATTCTTCCACGGACAGGAACTGGGATCCCTCTTTCAAACTGCTTTCACGTGTGGAGTTAATGGATCTGCTACTGTGTCTTTCGATGAGCCACGTTCTGAACCTCAATAGCCAGGCCACAGCTCTTCGTAATTTATCCCAAGATGAGTAATGCTCTATCAACGTGGAGAGAACTTCGCTTCGATGACGAGTCAACGACTGGCTGTGAGAATGAGTTTGACGCTTGATTTCTGGATGATCATCTGAAGGTCTTTATCGGTGAATTGTAGGATCACACGGCCAGAACTCTTCTTTTTTCTTCAGAAACTCGGGACCACTCAGCCATTTACTGCTTGTACTCATTTCTTCCACCGTAAGACCTCTGGATACTTCGTCTGCCGGGTTGTCTTCGGAGCTAACATATCTCCACTGATGAGGTGCTGAATTTTCATGTATAACTGACAGCCGATTTGCAACAAACGTATGGAAACGCTTTGACTGTTTTCTGATGTACTGCAACACGCAGGTGGAGTCCGAACAAAATGTCGATTGGCTAATTGGAATATCCAGCTGTTCTCTTACGGTCTGATCTAACTGAATGGCTAAGACTGCAGCTGACAGTTCCAACCTTGGCACAGTCATATGTCTCAAGTGAGCAAGGCGAGACTTCCCCATGAGAAACGCACAATGGATTCTTTCCTCGACATCCTCCAATCTGAGATAGGAGACTGCTCCATATGCGATTTGCGACGCGTCGGCAAAGTTGTGTAACTCAGCCATCTTCAAGTCTCCAAAGCAGGTTGGCTTAACGCTTCTGTCTACTGTTATCCGAGAGAGACCTACCAACTGAGCCTTCCACTTCTCCCACCTTTCACCATCATTAGCGCTGATTGGATCATCTCATCCAAGTTTCTGCTTACAGAGCTCTAGTAACAATTTCTTAGCCGGGAGGATGACTGGCGCAACGAAACCAAGTGGATCATAAACGGAACTTGACAGGGAAAGTATACCGCGACGGGTGTTCGGTCTGTCTTTAAGAGCAACCTTAAATAGGAACTTGTCGCTCTCCATGTCCCAGTGGAGCCCCAACGTGCGTTGCATCGGTAGCTTGTCTTTGTCTAGGTCAAGGTCTAGTACCGGTTGATCTCTCTCAGATTGAGGTCTAGGCGAATTCCTTCTTTTCTCTGGTAGTCATTCACATATCGCGTGCGATCTGTGTCGTCTCGACACCAGGAAGGGTAACCGGCGCTCTCCAGTTTAATCTTGAGCCAAGTGTTGACGTAAGGCGCAAACAATCCTTCTTGTGATTCTTCAAAGTGCCATACTTCGTGAATGCGAAGCACGCGATACCCGATCGCCACGGCTTTTTCCAATTCGGGCGAACACCAAGTACCTCGCAAGCAGCGCTTGGCGTCCGTGTGAGAGCATGTATAAGATCTTTCCAACAAGGGTTTTGCACTTCCTCTTCCACCCACTTAGCGCATAAGGGAAACGTCAACTTGTACGAACCAGAGCTCATCGTGTGTCTGTACGGTAACACGGGGTGAAACAACTCGGTGGGAGGTAACACGTCCATTTTCAATAGACCATAGTAGGCTGAGGGATCTTGATTTTCTGGTTAGTACAAGATGACGGGATGTCCAGCCGGGTACACGCCATTCTTGCTAACCCACGGGTACTCGCTAGTCACATCGACGTAACGAATCTGCTCATCGCCTGTGACTCGATGATAGAGCGCTACCGCCGCTGTTCGCCCACCAAAACATACGTCACGCGGTTCTAGCGGTGTCACCAGATGTAAATCTGTCACAAAGTGGCGGCATTCCCCATCTTGCCCTTAGAGAAGAACAAACTGTCATTCCCACATTTCCACCACCGTATACCCGGCGTCACGCAACGCTTTGACTTTCTGCAAGGTTTGTCTACTTAACGCTTCCACATTTAAACCCATGGCACAGTGAGGCACTTGTTTTCTATCGGGAAAGCAGGTACGACATCCGTGAAACAAACACCCTTGAAACTCAAAACAAGTGCGTGACTGTTCGTGATATCCATCGACGTGATGAGTGCGACCAGCCAAACGTAAGCCCACTTCACCGCCATTTCTTGCGCGACGTATGCGAATTCCACGCTGCCTCTCCTCCCACAACAACCACTCTGGCGATTTCAAAGAATGCGTTGGACGAGCCCCATGCCAACCACTACACGGTTCCAAGGCAATGCTGTCCTCCTCCATCATGCGTTTGCGCCAGTAGCGATAGCAGGCTTGTGCGATGGTGACACATTTTTCTATCGTGTTAAAGCCAGCGACCGCGCGAAATTCGGATACAAATTTTCGACATCCGGCTTTGAGTAACTTTAATTCTGACCCACAACAGTCGATCAATTCACGTTTTAGATCGTACACGGCAGGCGGTTGATAACGGGCAGATTCTTCTCTGTACCACTCTTCAAATTCAGCCATTTTTTCTCCGACATGGACTCGGGGTCGAAATGAATGCGATCCGGTAAAGCACCCACATATTCTGCATTCTGGGGAGTGTGAAACGCGTGACGAAAAAAACCCTTTCTTCCATTCTTCGATTCCAAACGTACTGGAAAATTGAGCCAGCGAGGACGGAATATAACAGAAGGAATCTTTAAATTGCACTCTTCCGTAGGATAGAGACAATTGTTTCGTTCCGTTAGGAATCATAAAATCAAATCTCCTGTGTTCTTTTAAGAGTTGCGCTTTTAAGAAGACACTATCGTATCCTTTCAATTTGTGAAATATACATATCACGTCATGACTCTCTTCTTTAGGAATGGGGTGGGTGTCGGTACCATAGATGAGGGAACCTAAAAAATCTAAAAATTCCCCAGTGCACTCTGGGCCGTAAAAGGTGTGGCACTCGTCCGAGTCTCCCGTTTCGGCGCGCACTAAGATGGGGGTGTGGGTACCGTCAGACTCGATCATCGCTTCAAAATCGGCATAGACGAAAATGGGTGGGTCGACATAAGGGCTGACATTGGGATTCTGCCGTTTCTGTTTTTTGTAAAGGTCTGCGGGCTTTTTTACGGGTTGATCTTCTTCTTCCTCCACGCTCTGGATGTAACACTGATACGATGTCAAATCCACATCTTCTCTGCATGCCCGACATCGGCTTGTATAGCATTCATGCGGGTCGTCATAAGGCGTGTACTCTTTACAACACAACTCGCAGCGAAGCCAACTCGCGAAAATACCTTCGGTCACATGGTAGGCCATACATCTTTCATCATAAAAATGGCGATGACATTGACGGGAATAGATGGTGGGTTGATGGGGTTTAGACCCACAGGCTACTTGCTTACAAGCTTTGCAACGCCGCCCTTCATACGGATAATGGCAAAAATCTTCGTGATCGTAGCCTCTGTTACACATACCGTAAAAATAAGATCTTTCTAAGAACGCCCGGTGAGATTTGCAGCCGTGATAATGCCCTATTTCTTCATTTCCTGTAGGAGGCAAGTACAACAAACGCACGATATGCTGGGGCGGTTCCGTCACGTGACCTTCAAATAGTACCCCGTAAGGGTAGCAGGCAGTGATGACTTTCAGTTGGTAGGTAAGTGCTAAATAAGCTTGGAAAGCTTCTAATTCTGATCTCCCACACGGTCCTTCCGGCACACCAGCTTCTCGATGTAAATATTTAGCACGTTTTGTGAGTGCTTGGGGGTTTTTTCTCATATTATCGTACTGCCGTCTCGGCTCTTGGTTTGTGGGGGAATCAAAGGCGTCACACGCTGATTTGAATATCCAAATGGCGCGAGCGCAGCACATCTCGTCTTCGTTGGACACTTGCAATATACTGCGGCGGTCGTGCAGATCCGCAGCAAGTTTCTTGTGGCCCAGCCACCGTTTGCCTTTCCCCTCTACATTTTCTCCCCCTTCTTCGCGATTGCGTGCCACTAGCGTCACATCGACGTCAAAGGGATCGTCGGCTTGAAAGGCTTCGTTGGAGTTCAACTAGTTAGCCAGCACTTGAAGATACCCATTCCACCGGTCGGTCCCCTCACGTACTTCACCCACTCTAAAATACGATGATTGTAGCGGGTGTTGGAAGCGTGGGGTGGAAACATTAAAAAGGACTTGTTCATTTTTATCAACCCCACGCGGCCACCGCCTTCCCACATCTTCCAAAATCCTTACAGCAGCACGCGCCACGGCCTCGGTAATCTCCCTCCCCAAATTGTCTCCCTCCCTTGCATCCCGCATTTGCTTTTTGAGCGTACGTACAAGCTGTTTGATCACGGTCTTTCTTGAACCGAGATGGCTGCCCATTGGGATGATGTTCAAATTCAAATAAGGGTGTACCTGAACCCCTCTGTCCTTCTTCTTCTATGCGAAGCAGCTCTTTGTCACTCACATCGTCATCGCCAGTAAATTCTTGATCATACTTCTCTCCAATACGAATAGGTTCTTCATCGCTTACATCATAAGCCCACGAATCTTCACTCCAAGCCCTTTTTTTGCCTACCATTTTAACTCTCTCAATCTGATTTCCTACTTCTACTGTTCTCCTTCACTCACTTCTACTAACTGCGAACGTGAAGAGATGAAGTACTCCTTATATGATAGATGTAGGAAAATAGAATTCATTCCCGGCATTTTTGGGTGTGGTCGTTACGAAACCCCTCCCTAATCCTTCAATATCGGTGGTTCCTTTCATCTCTTTTTTCCCTTTGTGACTCCATTCTTTAATTTTTTATTATAAAAAGATGTGACTTAAAAGTCACCTTACGTCTAGCTTGAGAGAAAGGTAAGTCTCTGATAAGAATACATTGTTCGCCAATCTGACTAAACTTGTTTTCTAAGGAAGATGGTGAGACGCTATTTCAAGGCAAATAAGAGACGAGGGGGGCCAGAAACCAGTCTTCCATGATCACATGCTGTGCATTTTTTATAAATCCGTTAGAACAATAATATTTTATCTTCGTTTGGTGGAACGGGTAACTCTGTCATAAAAATTTATACACCAGTTTCTTTTTTATCTAAAAGTGTGTGTGAATAATAAATCTGTTTTTCAGAAGAATCGCAAGTGTTTTTACAACTCTTTTTTTTCACAAATTAAACATGATGTAGGAACTAGATTCTTGGATATGTGTGTCTTTTATGGGAACTTTTTTTGAAATCGCCGAGGTCATTGTCACGCAATGTTTTTACGCATGAGATAGAACAAAGCAATTATCACTTCTTATGTACTCTTTTTTCGGGTGATCACGAGATAAAAAAATATTAAAATATGAACAGCCTTTTTCGATAACGGGAAGTTTTTTATTTATAGGTATATCAAGACACCCTTACTTACGAAGCGAATATAACGACATTTTTTAATCTCCCATTTTTTTCATTTTCGGCACTTTAACAATTAACCCCTCAAAAAAGATTTAATTATGATGATAGAATTTTTTAGAACGTCTGCTTTATTTGCATATTGTATTGTACTCTCCAGACGTGATCCATTTTGTACTATCTGACGAGTTAAATTTATTATTCGATATTTCATCTTCTTTCTCGTTCACCTTTTTACGCTCTTTCCAAATAGAATCATTTTTTATGTAGGGTATGAGGGGTATCGCGATGATATGTATGTCAATTGGCACGCTTATTTTGTACAACGTACTCAATAAAAAGGAAGCGCAAGTATAAAATTGCGTCCTATTTTCTGTGAGTGTATGAGAGAGGGTGCCGGAGGATGGGTGATCTTTTTCAAGAAAAAAAAATTCAAAGACTTGTTTACGTGCATTCTGATTTAGTCGACCCCAACAATATAGGAGATAAAGTCACTAATTATTTAAAACTCGTCACGTACACTCCGACACTCAAAGGATACGATTATTATGCACCTTCGCACCTAGACTACATTCCCTTGAGAACTCATCGCATCGAAATCATTCATACGGATCTTCGCGAATTTCCTGACGAATTATTTGCACAGTTTGAAGAAGGTTGCAGCTGTTTTCTCGTTCTACATTTTCGCCAAATTAAATAAAAGGGGTGTAAAGTCACTCGACATTCTTTTTATCTTCGCATTTTAAAAGAAGCGTCGACGGACGATTGTCAAGCGTAAACAATGGAAGAATTTCAACTGGTATTACCGAGTCGCGATAAAAGCATTCAATATTTCCCACAAAATAAGAACGCGAGCATGTCGCATCATTCTTCTTAAAGAATCCTCATCGGCGTACGAAATGATATCCAAAATACTTTCAATATCCACCACAGATACTTTTGGGAAGTCCACAATTTGTCTATCTACCATATTCATAGCCATCCTTCGCGTCCGAAAGTTCACGCTCGAATACCACTTTTGTATATTCGACGACGGCTTTAAATATCTCTTTTCAAATATGTCACATTAGTCCGATAGCGGTTCTTCCGCGTCTTGAAGGTAAAAATCTTCTCTGTTTAAAATTCGCTGTAATGTCTACACATCGAGATATGCTTTCCAAGATCTCGTGAATGTAACTGAGAGCAAGCTCGGAATGAATCATCAATTCACTAAATTTACATTCCGACTATGCAAATGACATGTCTCATTATAATGCACAAAAATAGCTTTCCATGCTCTATGAAGCGTGTTACCGTACGACCAGATTTTTCGGTTTTTCTTTTACTTTTTATCAATCAGACGCAGCCGAAGGCTGCGTTCTTTTCCGGAGCGTGCAAAGAGAAGAAGAAGAGAGGAAGAATCAAAATCCAATTTTTGTTTGTGAGGTCCATTTTGAAAATTCCAACCATGTAAAATGATATGTCTCATTAAAAAAAAAAACTTTCCATGCTTTATCAAATATCAAACTGACCATTTTCTTTCATACGCATGCGTAAAGTTTTTCAGTATGCGCGGACAATTTTTTTTGTCTTTCCATCCCACATGGATGGGACTATCATGACGGTTTCATATATATGCTCAAACCAACTTCTACTCCCAATAACTAAGGCATCTGCCGCTCACGCTCACGTCAGTTATAATCCGTGAGGGGGTAATGACCTTACACCTTACACATCACACATCATCTCATAACTTCGGCTCTACCTCGGCTATTCGGCTACTCAATCTTCGGTATTACTCGGACATACTTCGACAGTAGTTCGGCTTCCCCTCGATACTCATTAATATTCGGCTCAATCTTCGGTGACTCGTTCCTAATTTGGCCGCGCCGATTTTTAATTTCGGGTTTGGAGATATCTCGTGACGGTTACATGAGCTAGGGACGTTGTAGATGACCTAAACTACGCGCCAATGTAGTAAACCGAGAAAATCAAGTTTAATCAACAGAAGAAAATAAGAACAATGATTCAGCTTACAAGTACAAAAGCTTTTTTAGTCCCCTTGGGATATCCAGTTACCTCGTGGTGTAGCCACGAGAGTTTTTTTTTTTATCAGTTCTTTCGTTCGTCTTTGTTAATTGTAATTAGTGTAAATAGTTCTCGTCTCGATAGTTCAGTTCTGCATTTATTAGTTTGTAGTTTATCGTGCTGTCAAAATGTAAATTAAGTTTGTCAGCGTTGTTTCATGTAATCACCTTTGAGTATTGTGTAGCCTTGTTTAGTCTATTGTTTTGGCCTTTATCCGCTATATAACATCGTAGTTGTAATTTTCATTCAGTCGTTGTTATTCCGGAGCGCCGCACAGATCTTTTAAGTAGTTACGCTTTCGTTTGTATTTTCCTGTAGTTTCTCGTATTCCTTTCATTGTATTTTAGTTTCTTTGGGTTTAAGTTCGCATTGTTAATTCTGTATTTTTTTTTTTGTGTTATGTACAAGTGAATCGTCGAGATTAAAAATAGGGCACGTATTTCAAACTGTGACGGAGTATCAGTTACATGCATTCAAAGATCTGAAGTGGATGACATGTTGTCCGGAATTGAAGGTCGGAGAAGACGCCGAGCTCACTCAGAAGAAGCCCCCGAAAGCGTGCGAAAGAAGAACTCGAGGTCAGGGTGTTTATCCAGAGTAACGATGTTGTACCATGCTACGGAAGTTCTGCTGAGTGATCCGAAAAATGTCGATAAAGTTAAACAGAAGTTACTGGAGATTGATGAAGCTTTTTCTCGCTTCGAACAGGTGCACTACGAGTACATCTCAACTCCGGATGGAGATATGGTAGTGTGGGGAAGCGAAGCGCGTTATTTCAAGGAACATTTCCGTCGAAAAATGGATTTCGTTTCGGGAATAGAGCGATGGATCCAGGACGTGGGATTAAACGCCGGGGCACGCGAGGAAAATGAGATACCAGTTGAAGACTCTGTAAGTACCGCTAATTCTTCGCAAAGTTCGCATTCATCTAGACTATCTATCAGACAGCTTAAAGCGAATCAGGCAATAGCGCAACTGAAGTTGTACCAGCTGAAGAAAAGGCAAGAATTACTACGTCAGGAAGAAGAAACGAAGCTAGAGTTAGAGCTTTTGGATGTGCAGTTTGAAATTAGGAAAACTGGACTTCAAATAAAGCTACTTCAGGATGAGAAGCTAGTTGATTTAGCCAAGTTACCGAACGTTTTTGAAGATCTGAAGCCGTTTAGTGAAGGAGTTATTGTAGGAGCTGCACATGCGCCTCATCAGGAATATTCTAATTCTCGTGTTGAACTCAACGTTGGTTCTCAAGACCTTCCGTTGCGGCTGAAATCTAATGCGCAAGAGTATAAGAGTTGGTCAGCCGGACCTACTGCCCCCTTTGTACATCCAGAGGCGACAGGTTCTGTTTTGCCTGGAGGAGTTATGCATAGTGTGGCTTTAACTATGAAGCAAGGATTTGCGTTGCCTAAAAGGTAATTGACAGTGTTTGATGGTGATCCTCTCGAATACTGGAACATTATCAAATCATTTGAAACCAGTATCGTGAACAATGCAGCCAGTGAAAGCGAGAAACTCATGTACCTTCCTCAGTACATTTCTGGAGCAGCAAACGATATCATCAAATGTTGCTTAGTAATGGATCCATCCCTTGGATATCAAAGAGCAAGAGAACTGCTTCAAGAACGTTTTGGTCACCCCTTCACAATTGCCTCAAAGTACGTAACCAGGTTAACAGAAGGACCCCCTCTGAAACCAGGGGATCGCGCGGGATTGCTTGCCTTTGCAGACAAATTGAAGGACTGTGAACATACGTTAGAATCCATTGGATATCTAGATGAAATAAACAGTGCAGACAACCTAAGAGGAATTGTTCAGAGATTACCATATCATCTCCGCACCAAGCTTGTTGAAGTTGCAGACGAAATCCAGCAAACTGGCCAAAGAACGAACATCAGTCACATCGCTGAATTTGTTAAAGTCAAAGCCAGAGTAGCAAATAACCCTGTGTTCGGTTGTGTGGTGGACATCGCGCGCGACAGATCGGAAAATGAAAGGCGAAACCCTAAGTCTAGGAGCGCTACATTAACTGGAGAACGCGTCAGCACATTTAACACTCAAGAGACCCAATCCGGTGGCAGACAGAGTCTACCCCCTTTTTGCCAGCCAGCTTCTTTCATGAAG